ATTGAGGAGATACATGAAGCAATATTCTTGATGGATAGATCTAAAGCACCAGGGCCAGATGGATTTTCAATGGCTTTCTATCAGGATTGTTGGGAAATTTTGAAAGATGAATTAATGGATGTATTTGTGGAGTTCTATCAAGAAGGGAAATTATCGCCTGGAGCAAATGCAACTTTTGTTGCTTTAGTGCCAAAAAAGGAGGCCAAAACCCCGAAGGATTACAGGCCGATAAGTCTTGTGGGTGGCTTGTATATAATCATTGCTAAAGTCCTGGCTGGTAGGTTGAAGACTGTACTGCCCTATATTATCTCTCAGAACCAAGGAGCTTTTGTAGAGGGGAGACAAATTGTGGATCAAATTTTAGTGGCAAATGAGTTTGTGGCAGCTAAGAGAAAACAAGTTGACAAAGGTTTGATTTGTAAATTGGACCTTGAAAAAGATGGGGCTAGGTGAAAGATGGAGGATGTGGATTAAAGAATGTATTAGCTCAACACATTTTTCTATTCTAATGAATGAGGTAGCAAAGGATTTCTTCTAGCCTAAAAGAGGACTAAGACAGGGTGACCCCTTATCTCCATTCTTATTCACCTGTGGCTGAGGTTTTGAGTAGACAAATCACCAAAGCTGATCAAGAAAACAAGTTTAAAGGTTGGAGAATGGATAGATCAGAAGTGGTGGTGTCTCATTTGCAATTTGTTGATGACATAATTATTTTCTGTGAAAGTTGTAATGAAGCTAGTTTAAGGAATCTGAAAAGATTGGTTGATGAGTTTCAGCAGGCCTCCAAATTGAAAGTCAATTGGGGAAAAAGCTGTGTAGTCAGAATCAACATTGAAGGGGGGGATATCCGAGCCATGGCAAATCTGCTAGGTTGTGAAGTGAAAAAATGGCCTCTGGAATACTTAGGAATGCCCTTGGGTGGGAATCCGAAAGCTGGAAGCTTTTGGAAACCGGTAGTAGAGAAGTTCATGAAGAAGTTGGCAATGTGGAAGAGAAATTATATTTCCTTGGGGGGAAGAATCACCTTGATAAAATAAACCCTTGCAAACCTTCCCACTTACTTCCTTTCCACCTTTAAGATCTCGGTGAAAATAGCTAGGAAATTGGAGAAGATTATGAGGGACTTTTTGTGGGAGCCAGGTGAAGAAAAGAAAGATCATTTAGTGAAATGGGAGCAAGCTTGTTACCCTAAGGACCAGGGTGGATTAGGTATAGGGAACCTAATAAAGAGAAACAAGGCCCTCCTAGGGAAATGGCTATGGAGATTCCCTTGTGAGGAAGAAAGGTTGTGGCACAGGGTCATTAAAAGCTTACATGGTGATGCAGATAACGGCTGGGGTGCAAAATTAG